TAATAAATCCATCTTTTAATTGCAAAATGGTCACTACAGGACAAAGGTATTGGAAAAACCTTTGGTGACAACATTTTTTAAAGTAAAAGAGTGGCCTTTTGATATGTCGCGAATGAATCGACATGATGGCGTGGGATATACAGAAAATCAGAACCATGTTTCATCATTCTACCAACAATTTCCACACAACAATGGCAATTTCATCCTCAGGTTGGCAATTAAATTAGGATACAATGCCTCACTATCTCACAACATTCCAACAGAAATTTGAAAGAGGCTATGCAGTATTATAGCTACTGCATCAAAGGCCAAAATGTGTATGTGCAAAAGCCTCTTTCCTAAAAAGTAAAGTTTACTAGAAGAAGAATAGTTCCATTATCATTTTGTCCCTCATGTAAATACACGAATGAGTTTACATACATCTACAGTACTAAAATGAAGAAATTATGAGATGTGATGTTTTAGGATTGACAACCAGAATGAGTATACACAGATGGATCTAATCATTAAATAATCAGTTTAGTAGATAATATTTGCAGAAATTGGAAGCAAACAATCAAGTAGAAAAGAAACCCAGACCCTAATCATGCTTCCCCTCAGTCATCATCCTCAGGATCAATCACCATTCTCAGCTTCCTTCTGGATACAGCATTGTCAGGAAATGCACTAACAGCCACTTCATTTACTAAATCTACCGAGTCATATCCACTTGCTGATATTCTACTCGGTAGGAGTTCATGAAACCTACCTGATTTTTATTGCCTGTGCCATTAATCCAACCACTAAAGTAATCAGTTTAAACAATAAAAAAAAGCTCAGAGAAACTGTATCTATATACAGAATATATTATGTTATGTCATCTATGAAGATACTGACAGTATATTATATATCAAACTTATAATAACCCTCACATGTAGTGTTGGATTTAATTATGAATTAATGATGTTAATCATAATATTGAAGAATAATTATAAGGAAGATAGAAGAAAAAGAAATAAAGTCATCTTTGGTGAAAAATGAGTTAAAGTGACAGTTAAGGGGTAAAAATACGGGTAAATAAAGTTACTCGAAAAGTGAAAGTAAATATGAAAATATTACCATAAAAATATTGGAAACCAATATCTAAAGTTGGATTGAGAGTTAAGTGAGTGAGTTAGATAAATGTGTACCCACGTGATGAGTACATGTCACTTAAAACACCAAAACATTTCAAATTCCTCTCATTCTCTCTCGTCTCACCCGCGACTTTCTCTTCTCCAACAGAGGGGTTTTTTTTTTTTTTTCTTCTCTCCTTGCTACCTCACCATTTCTCTTCCTCTCAATCACTCAAGAACCTTGAACAAACACCCATTCCTCTACAGCTTCCTCACATCTTCATGGGCTTTAGTTGGAGTTAAGAGATTTGAAGAAAAGAACTCACCCAAGGAACCCCCATTTTTGGATTTCTTCATGGGTGGTCATAGAAAAAGGCTTTGAAGCTTGAAATCATCTCTCTCAACCTTATTTGAAGTTCCAAAGGTAATGGGATCCAAACCCTTAGTAGTTTCATGAATAATTAGTATATTTTAGGTTATTCAAAGAGGGTTTTCATGGTTGGAAAAGTAGTTGTGAAAATGAACTTAAATATCTTCACAAATTATGTTAAGGGAAGGTTCTTAATAAGGAAAAAACATAGAAACCACCACTTTAACTAAGTTGAAATTTTGACTCATGAACAAAGTGTGGGATTTTCATGATTTAAGGCTTAGAGTGGAAATTTTATAATGGTTCTATGTGTGATTATTGATGTAGTGTAGAACCAAGTGAAATATTAATGGATGAGCATCCTGTGGATCAAGCCTTTGGAGAAGATATGTATTTTTAATTATTCCAAGTGTAGGATAAGTTGCCGAAAAATAAGTTTTCGTACTAATTTAGAGTCGGAACCACTTTAGACGAGTTGTGGGACGTTCCCTAAGATAGGGAAACCCTAAGAAATCAATGTGGAACATTAAGAAATTGATTAAGGCATAAATTAAGTGAATAAACAAAGAGAATGTTTAATGATTGTGATAGATTAATGATATGCTAATTGTATTCACATTATTGGAACTAGGTTGTGATCGTGGTTGTGAATCTCTGGACCCGAGATTAATTGAAGGACTTTGCTTGCGAGGTAAGCTTTCGGTCCTTGGGGTTAATCCCTCGTTTGTTCCACCAGACTCCGAGGGAGGATGGTACTTTTATATGGTATGTGGATATGACTTGTTATATGTTGCATGTATATGTATGTATGTTTGTGTGCCACACAAGACGATGTTTCCTTGTGTGAGGCATAAGACAGTGTTTCCTTATGCATAGTATGAGACAGTGTTTCCTCATACGGTATGTTGCAAGACGGTGTTTCCTTGCGTAATGCATACTTGTTATATTCTCTGGCCAGTAGGATTACATTATTGCACACTGCATTGTCATACATATTCTGATGCATGCATGGATTTTTATACTGTATTTATACCAGAAGTGAGCTTAGGGGTGGAGGAGCCCTCCAAGGGTCCCTAGCTTACTGAGGTAATTATATTATCTCACCCCGCGTTATGGGGATTACCATTTCTGGTACAGGAGCTTATGGTGCTGAGGCATCGCGTGGCAAGAGGCCGGATGAGAGATACTACTTGACATGATTGTCAGGGCCTTACAGATATTTAGATTTGTACCTGACATACTTTATTTTGGATTGTATGTGCCATGTATTTTTTGAGAGCGTAGGAGATGTTTATGCCATGTCGATAGTCTGTATATGCTGTTAGTTATGCATGCTCAGGTCTATGTTACTTATTTAATTGCATCTCTTTTGTTTATTTGATAATTATATAAGTAACATCATGGACATTATTTTGAGACAGTATGATTATGAGATAGCCTATGTCATGGATGGCTGGGTAATATGGTTTATGTCTGGATTATACTAAACTGTCAATCAGGTTAAAATTATCATAGTGGAAATTATCCCTAGTAGTCCAAAATACAGAGGAAATGCTGTCCGTTTTATTTTAGCCATGGAAGTGAAAAAAGTTTGCAATACATAAGGAAAAAGAGAAAATTATTTAGTTAGCTTCCGCATTAATTAAGTTGAGCATGCTGCGCTTACTATCATATGAATGTTAATTAACCGGCTGCAGACGGTGCATTACAAAACTAATCTTATTCAGACACAACTTAACCCCCACTACAATTAAACACACACACACAAAACAGTAATAAAACCTTTGTTCTGTACAAAGAAACTATTGAATAGAAAACAAGTAGATTATTCTTCATTCTATAAAGTCGATTGTTGTTAGTTTAGCAGATGCATAACTTGATTCTTATTTACATCTGAAGAAGTATAAATGTTTATACAACTTGTGCTTCAACATATAGACTAGAATATCCAGGAACTTTAGAACTCTACAATTATGGGCTTAAATAATCAAACTAGCAAAGTGTGCTATTACGACAAGGGTCTTTTCCCATTAGGTGGTAAAAATGTGCTATGAGTCAATTGCCAAAAATAAAACGATATTGCACTTAAAGTCTTAAATGGCATACCTTTCCGATACCTCTTTTATGCCTCCATTAAAAGAATCATGGTCCATTATTATGTCCTGAATTTGGATGGTTTCAAGCTTATCAGACTTTGAACGGTGCCGCCTCACGATGACTCCAACTCAAATTACAGGAGATAAAATGTCATAGGCAAAGGATAATTAATTCTAAGAAATAAAAAAAAGGAAACTTTCCATGCTCTCTAACTTAATTAACATTATAACCAGATTTCACATCAAGTAATAATACAAGACTAAACTACTAATTTTTTTATTTTTTTTTTGTAAATTAAACTACTAATTTAGTCCTCCAAAGATTCACTCGACATAAATTTGGTCTCCAATTTACATCAAATAAATCCTTCAAAAATTTAAAGAAATGTCAAAATGTTCCATCAAGCTACCATTCATCAAAATATGGACCATTTCGAGGATCTGCTTATGGATAATATTCTTGTATGGAAAGAAATAATTAAAGAAATGATAAGGCATCCGCCAAAAGAAACCACAAAGCTGAAGGAAAACAAAAAGTAAAACTCTCATAGGAAACCACAAAACAGACACATCCAAAGGAGAAAACAGAAAAAGTAACCACCACAACAACAGCCCCAAAACCCGCCTAGGAAACCCCCTGGACAAAACACCCGCAACTAAAAGAGAAGAACTAAAACAAAATTACACACAAAACAATAATCCTTTTGCTTCAGCAAAGAAGACGACTTTCAAAAGAAGAACCTAAATAATCCTTCTAAATCCTTCATGCCCTCCATAATTTACTCTTGTTTCCATATGATTATTTTAACGGGAGAAGTTGTATTTATTATTATTATTATTTTTATTATCATTTATTATTAAATCTTAATTTTAATTTGTATCCCCATAATAATTATAATTTATTAAAAATTAAAAATTAATTAATAAATATGATCAAATAAATTATAATTATTAAATTGTCGAATAAAATTTGATGTCATTTTAAGTAAAATGACCTTAATTTTTGGCATTTTATTTAATTTTTTTACAAAACACAGTCGATTCACAAAAAAATAAAAAAATTAATTTTTTAAAATAATAAATATATGAAGAGAGATATTTCTCCTACCAACTTACTATCTATCTAATCATTATTGGATCAATATTTCTCTCTCTTCAGAAACTTTTTAGCATTATCTCTCTTTGATCCAATGATGAATATATTAATAGTAAGTTGATAGTGAAAAATTTTGATAATAAAAATATCTTCCTTTTAAATATATATATATATATGAAAGGAAGAAAATATAAAAAGTTAATAAATATATAATTTCATTTTAAAATGACACCGTACTCGAATCAAATTAATACACATGAAAGGTCGATATTGGCCCACAACTAAGCGCATCAAATATTGTGCAGCAGCTTACGAGTTTGATCGAGCTCGCTCACTCACTCACCTTGGTTTAGGGGGGAACATTGAACCTTTTCCTTCGAATTAGTGAGTTATGAGAAGAAAGACTCTCGGCGGACGAAGGCGTACGCCGTCGACAACTCCTCCTTCTCTCTCCGCAATTCCTTTCCTCTCCACCCCTCAGGTTCGGTACCCTACCTTCCTCTCCTTTCCTTTCTTCTTTAATTTCCACACCTCATTTTTCTGTTAACCCTTTCTCTCTCTAAATTCCCAACCAGGACGAACTCAACGCAACCGTAGTGTTTGATAGCGAGAGCGACGATGACCATCCACACGTTCGAATACCTGATTGCATCGATCACCATTCCGAACCTGTTGATTTGTTGGACGAGAATATCTGCATATGTTGCAATAAAAGCGAAAGAGCGTTGGTTTGTAGCGAAAACGGTTGCCCCGTAACTGTCCATGCCAACTGCATCGGTTCCGAACCTAAATTCGATGATTCTGGTAAGTTCTTCTGCCCTTACTGCTGGTTCAAGCGAGCAGTGAACAAGAGTCGCGAATTGAGGGAAAAGGCCATGGTGGCGAAGAAAGCTTTGTCGACTTTTTTAGATAAAGGCCAATTGGCAAAGAAAGATGGAAATTTTAATAAAGAAGAAGAAGAAGATGTTAAGGTGATGAATAGGGCTAAACCTGAAACGGAAGTGAAAGAAAGTTTTGAATTTGAAGAACGTGTTAATGATAGTGAGGATGTAGGTGAAAGAATTGTTGTGGAGAATAAAGGTGAGGTTTCTGCGACGGGTAGTTCTGTGAGTGAAACTAAAGATTCGGATTCTGAAGCTGTGTCAATGAAGAAACTGAAGGTTCGAAACAAGGTTGTTGCTTCTTCTATCAGGAAACCATTGTTACGGGAGCGTAACATTAGAGGGAGAAATGCTGGTGATGTAAATGAGCAAGTTACTAGCTCCAGTAAATCACTGAGGTCGCCTAAGCAAGTGTGAGTCATTCATCTCTTTATGTATAATCGAATGCTAGCATTATTTACAACGAGGGTAAGGTGAGGGTCGATCGTACATAATTTTACCCCTATATTTTTGCAACCTGGTTCGCCCTCAAATACTTGTTTTATTAACTCATTGAAATTTATTTTCCCCAAGTGAGGAGCATTAACTATTCTTTTGATGGATACTTGCTTTCTCTAAAAGGGTTGAATCTTTAGTGAGTCTATTGTTCTCAATTGCAGGGCAAAGCGGACTTCTCTGACCGCAAAACGTAAGAGATTACTTTGGGCTACTGAAGAAGAAAAAGCTCTGAAGGTATGATGTTGTCATTAAATGTCATATCTTTCTAGAACTGACTGATTTGTTGATATAATGCTCTAACAATGTCAAATGGGTTCAGACCTTAAACAGGTTTTGATTTCAAATATTTAACCATATTTGAAAATCATACAATGTGCCTCCATTTGAGTGTATGAGTGTGAGTTTGTCATTAGTAGACATGTAAGGGGCTCAAACTGGGATGGCTATAGTATTTGTTAAGACTACCTGCATTCCATGATCAAACCAAGAGCGTCATATGGTTGAACATATTCATACTATTACAGACAGTTGCCACTAAAGTTACGTTGAGATTAGTTGCTGTTTTATTTATTTTCAATACATTTAAGGTATAGGACTGAAAGAAGAACCTTAATTAGCATCTCCATGCAACAACCTTGAAGAGCTGTTTTGCTTAGGCTGTTCATCAATTTATCAGAAAGAATGGTTTTACTTGGGATGTCTAACTGATGTATATGAGGGTACGGCTGAAACGCAGGAAATAGGAGGCGATATCAGTGTCATGCTGGTGGTTGTTCGGGATCTGTGAACATTACCTTTGATAGGTATAGGGAAAATTCAATCAAGAATCAGTCAGGGTTATCATGGGAAGCAGTTTTACTTATATCTGCTAAAGAAATGATACCTGTGTAGTACAGGAAAGTGAAAGACATAAATGAAGAAAAAGAAGATCACACCAGGGGTTTGGTTGCATCACAAATGGAGAGAGCAATCTGCTCCTATAATTCATAAATCTGATAATTTTATCATGGAAATTGGAAAATTACTAGTATACTTCTGTGACTAAATGTAAAACACATATAATCAAGAATGGAACGTTTTCAGTTTGTCAAGGTATAAAATATTCATGAGATAATATAACTGCTCAAGGCCTTTATTTCTCATTTAATAGCATTAGCTTTGGTTCTTGCTATGCAGGAAGGAGTGTTAAGGTTCTCCACGGAAAATCAGAACATCCCTTGGAGGAAAATTTTAGAATTTGGTAGTCATGTATTTGATAAGACTCGTACTCCTAGTGATCTGAAGGATAAATGGAAGAACATTACCTCCAGGGAAGGTAAAATTACGAAATGTAGTTATCATCATTATTCATAAGCAGCGAATATATAAGTAACTATTTCATTATTTCTTGTTCTATCTTTTATGCTCTTGAAACTTTGGGTTTTCTGCTGGCAAGTGGCTTTTATGGGAGATTTCATAGATAAAATATGTGAAAGAATTCTCAAAAAGAGGAATTCTGGCTAAATATTTTCATCCCTCCTTAATAGGTGCTATTCCAACTTTCTCTCGGATACACGGTTCCCAATCTTATCTTTTTTTATATGAACAATTTTCCGCCTCACTGTTGTCATCTCTCTTACACTAACTTACATACACTACCATGGAGCATGTTGGTCTTGATAATAGGATCAACACTAGGGGTGACAATTCGGGTTGGTGGTTCATATTCGTGTTGTGCCAAAGTCTGACACGAACATAAATACTTGCAACCCAAATATGATACGAATAACTATTGATGTCGAAACGCTCGACACTAACATGACCTATTTACTATACAGATTTACAGGACACGACACAATACAAATAACCCCCTATAATGACACCTCTATTCTATTTTCTTCATTGCATCAGGGCTATCAGAGAACAAAGCCACCTCCATGGGCCCATCCTTCTGGTTGCGCACCCACCCTTTGAGCCCCAATTCCATCACGTTATTATTAGTCTAGTTCTCGTACCACACCTCCATCACCCTCCCTTTCACATTCCAAACCAAACCACCCATCAAAATATCTATACAAATAATAAATAATATTGGGTTTGCCTTTGCACACTGTTTTGGTAGAAGAGGAGCTTGTGGAGTTGTCATAGCAGAGAGAGAACATTAAAGTTGAGGATAATGGAAATTGAGGATTCTAGATTTAGCGCTACAACTACAATTGCTCCATTTACTATTCTAGTGGCTTGATATGCAAGGAATATCAGTTCTAGAATTTCGGATCAGGTTTCCGGGTTGATAGAAACACAAATACCCTAACACAATAATGACATGATTTTTTGGGTCATTTTTGGTTTGACACTATCATGAACTAATTCTCCCAAAAGCTTAAGCTATTGGGTAAAGGCACATGAATGGTTTTATATTATATTTCTAACATGTCCCCTCATGCAAAAGTCTTTTCAAGCTTGCATTGTGGACAATGCACAGGCTCACATTCCTTGGGCAAATTCAACTTTTTCATTAGAAACGATCGAATTCTAGGTCATGTTGTCATAGAAGCTCTCATACCATATCATGAACCAACTCTTGTAAAAGTTTAAGCTATTGGGTGAGAATACACATGAATAACTTTATATTATATCTCTAACAAACACAAATACTCCTAACACGAGCATGAAAATCCCATGTCGTGTTCAGGTTGTGTTGACATATCATGTTTAAAATTGACACCCCTAATTAATACTAATGACTTGCTAGTTGCTACAGATTCAAGGCATCACCAGACCCTTTATCTTGGTGTTTGCTTACATACAGAACTAACTCAGAAAGAGTAAACCATCTTTTGTTGCATTGTAAAGCAGACACTTTCCATTGGAACAATCTTGTTTTGTTGGGGAGCATCGGGTGAATCTTTCTACTTTGGAGTACTTTTTTGATGATTCTGTATAAAGGTTTTTGCAAAATTGAGAACAACATTTTATGGCAGTGTGTTGTTTATGCAGTCATTTTGTGCATTTTGTTGGAGAGGAATTCTCATATTTTCAGAGAATGTTTTTGCCTCTGAACTTGTTATGAGGAGGTCTATGTTTATGGTTTCTCTTTAGGGTTCAGCTCATGTTGTTTCTAGTGGGTTGCTCTCACTAACATGTAGAGAAATTCAAGAGACTTGCTACTTTGTTGGGCCTTTGTATCTAGCCATATGACTGGAATTTGGATGATCTATGAACTGCTTTTAAATTATTTGAAATAATAACATGTTTTGCTACGCAGGATGCAAGTAGAACCATTGCATGGATAGCCTTCTCAAGCAACTGTCTAGCTATGAAAACCTGGGTATCTTACCATCAACCAGCGTTTTGTTGATATTTTGGCTTAAAGCGGAGCAAGGACAGAAGGTGCAAATGAAATTTAATGACCTCTCCAGATTTTGTATTGAGTTCTATGTATAATCATTGCTGGTGCTCCAATAATTATATGCAAGGTCATCTTAATTTCCCTTGGCTAGATTGCCTAAGTATATATTTTATGGACGAAGAATTTTAAAATCAGTATAGGCAAAGTGACAAAATGTCCTCATCCACAAAATTTTGTTACCCACTACTTGTCTTTCCTGTCAATTGTGTATAGCTGCCAATGGCTGCGAGTGCAAAGAGGATATCCCTATGGTGTGGTAAGAACTCTAACAAAGACATTTTCCCATGCACTTGGTGTAAAAATTTGTATCAGGATTGAGATCATGATAGGCAAGTGACAAAATGTCCTCATCCACAATTTCGTTACCCACTACTTGTCTTTCTTGTCAATTGTGTATAGCTGCCAATGGCTGCGAGTGCAAAGAGGATATCCCTATGGACCTATGGTGTGGTAAGAACTCTAACATAAGACATTTTCCGATGCACTTGGTGTAAAATTTTGTATCAGGTTTGAGATCATGGTTAAAGTTGGAGATAATGATAGCTTAAATAGTTGATGCAGCACCTGTTGAGTAGTGTGGTGTAAAAACAATGTCTTACTCTGAATATCTAAGATTCTCTTCATCACTAACTCACGTTGTACAATTTACGGTAATGGAAGAATATCCGCAAATAAAAACATGAAAAACAAAATGTATTAAAACGCATACAAAAGATTGAACACAAACAAAAAGCAAAAATAAATCCATACATTCCATTTTTGCAGAAGAAACTGACAGCAGACAGGCGGAGGAAGCTAGAGTCTATAGGCAGCCAAAAAAGAAATAATTTGAAAAAAAAAAAACAAGATGTTAGAGGAAGAAAAGAAATGAAAATTAGTGGAGCAAGAGCCAATTTACCTAGCCTTCATGATTTTATTATTATTATTTTCTTGAATATACAATGTCACAATGAGAACATGGAACTTTGCATCCATAACACTATCCAATTCTCCTGCTACGAACTCGCTATCCTTGACTCTTGTATTGCCCCAAGGTTCCATGTTTTCCCAAAACTTTTTTTTATATCTAGACTTAAACAATCTTTCTATAAACAAAAAATAAAAAAAATTGTATTAACCGAGTTCATAAAAAATTACAATTATATTTTATACTCCCTTTGTCCTCTTTTATCGTACATTAAGATTTCTACACAATAATTGAGACAAATATTAAATATTACTAAATTACCCTTTCTATTGCAAAAGGTATAATTTGACAAGTCGCCTGGTGTAGTTGATTTAAGGAAGCTGAAAAAGTCAACATAAATTGTATTTGTTGATTTAAACTTTTTTGAGAGACCTTAAAGAGCCAAATAACATCAACAGAAACTAGTGTCCCTGGCTGTTTATGTGTTTCTTTCCATTTTTTGTGGATCATATTCCATCCCTTGGTAGAAGAACATGCATGTACGCAGCATTTATTTGACTAAATAATGAACTTTACAGCGTAACTATATAAAGAGTCCTCTATTCCTCTATTTACTTATAGCCAAAAATGTATAAATCATGCACCAGAAAACCTATATTTGAAGTGGAAATAGAGTTCTTGTTACACTCCAGCAGTGAAAATAAGCTGCACCGGCAGCATGAGGAAACAGAAACGGAAGATTTTAGATGACAGTTCCACTTGGAATTAATGCATCCTTGATTACTGTGACAATCCCACTTTTTATGAAATAACCGTCTGTTTCCCTTGCAGTTTCTTGCACATTGTCACTGTTAATGATCTGAGAATTGAAACCGGATATAAGATTTCCACTAGAAAAGCAAACATATGTTGTTACATTGAAGGTAACACAGTAAATATGTATCATGGGAACAACCTACTCACTATTTCATATTTCGATACACCTATCATTTTCCTCTAAACTGACATGGAAAAATAGATCATTAAAAGTCATTCATTCATAAAATAATACTAGGACCTTTATCAAGGCTTTATGTTTAGATAACTAATTGTACTAAAATTATTGGATGATAAGACAAAATACAGATGCAACAACTTGCTAAGATGAATAAGTTCCTTAAGCTTATTCCTTGTAGCTATTTTTTCTTTTCTTTTTCTTTGGGGAAGCAAGGAAAGACTTGATTTTTATTTGCTCTTCCCCATGTCAAAGTAAACCATTATACAAACTTGTTTAAGGATTGAAAATTTACTTTTGAAACCCCCATCCCCCTCCCTCTTCTGGTATGCATGCGCGCATGGAGCACATGGAAAAGAACAAGAGAAAAGTGCACTCGACAGGAGAAAAAAATAATATAATGTAATATATATATATATATATATATATATATATATATATATATAGGCAGGATCCTTTGACACCGGTGTCAAATTTAAAATTTGACACCTCATCTATGAGCCGTTAGATAAAAAAAGATCAACGACTCTGATTTGTAAGCATGTGACACCATTGATCTTTTTTGATCGAACGACTCTCAGATGAGGTGTCAAATTTTAAATTTGACATCGGTGTCAAAGGATCCTACCTCATATATATATATAGTTGATGATAAGAATACCTTTACATTGTCCCCAATTCTAGCATTCTTGTCAATAATTGCCCTTTTGATATGAGAATTCTTGCCAATACCAATTGGAACACTGCCTTTAGCAGCCAGAAACCTTCTATCAGCATCCGTCTACAACACAACAATCAGAAAACCAATATTGCAGTTAGTGCAGCTGGTTAAACTAAATTCAATCCCTACTACCTTATTCACATGAAAGTTACAATCAAATCTAAGCCTCTCAACCACTTGGACAAGTCTTGACCATTACAAATTAAAAACAATATGTGCTAGCTATTTAGCAATATTACCTCATAATAATCTGCCCCCATTAACAATGTGTCCTCAATAATTGCACCTTCTGATATACAAGATCGCAGTCCAACCACAGAATGGTGAATTTTGCAGTTCTACAGAACAAAACATTGACAATGAGGTTGATATTTTCAATAAATTATTTAATCTCATTATATTCAATATCTTTACCAAGATATGTATAAATTTGCCTCACACTCATAGTTATTGGTGGAACCTAGAAAATTAATACTGAACTTGCTGAAACAATGGAGGCATAACTCCTTTTACATACACATAATACAAAGATAAAATGCAGAAAAATAACCCAGAAATATCAACTCCTAGATATCCCCAATTTCCCCACTAACCAATTCTGAATTCATGCATAGTCACACTGCCTACCTTTTATCTACTTGCAGAATATTCTAGAATAATTAACTAACTAGCCCACTCACTTTTAGGCCCATCAATTGTACTAAGGATTAAGAAAGAATGTGTTACAGATTATGAACCTCACCCCGTGCGCGATGACCAGATATAAACTTTCTTCAACCACTTACGATATACCAACCATAGGCAGCTCACTATCCTCGGGGGAGGAGAGGGAGCGTAGGCTATCAGTAGTGTGTTGCTCTTAATCAGGGGATGTAACTGAGTGGGCCCCGGAGGGGAATGGGTGGGTTAGGAAAACAAGTGAATGCTCCTCGGGAAGTCATACGGTGAGGAGCATGAACGATAGGGTAGCTACTCCGGCCGGACTACTTACTTAGGGGTGAACGCTGCCGTACTACTAAAAGGGAGGCAGCGGAACACCCAAAGTAAGACAGGAAAACAAGCTCACTCTCCTCGGGAAGTCATACGGTGAGGAGAGGGAGCGATAGGGTAGCTAACCCTACTTCTTGATTATGAATGCATAGCAATTCATAAGGGAACACGAGCCCGCCATTCCTATTAGGGAATGGAGTAAGGGCTCTACCGAATAGTAGCTAGTAGCTAACAGGGCGACTATTCCCACAGAGGGAATAGAGTAAGCCCTGACCGATCTATAACTACAAGCCCGTATTCCCCTGAGGGAAGAGGGCGATCTAACTACTGCTTACTTACCGTATCCATCAAAGAAGAAAGTAAGCAGTAGCAATAGATAAATAGGAATGATATCAGTTCTATACCCCTATTTCATAGGAACTATTCTAAAGATTAAAGACCTATGAAATAGAGGACATGACTGAATACTCTAAACTCCGTTTAGAGCCTATAAAACCATACCCCTGAGCCTATGAAATAGTGGAACAGTTCAGTGGGTTGTGAAAGTTATGAAAAAGCTTACCTTAATTACACATCCTTCACCAATAACACTATCAGTGATATCAGCATCAAGCATCTTAGATGGAGGCAAATATCGAGGTTGGGTGTAGATTGGAGATGAACGATCATAGAAACTGCAATCAACATCCCAAAAAACATTGAACATCATGATGTAGCTGCTATCATTAAAATACACTCGACAGTAGGATGACTATATTAATTAGCCAATATCTAGTCACCTAAAGTCTGGCACTGGCTTTTTGGTGATTCCTAGATTTGCATTATAGAATGCCTCAATTGTACCGATGTCTTCCCAGTAGCCATCATATAAGTAAGCTTGCACCTGTGCAGATTCACAAACAACACATCAGAGATCTGGACACTAAAGATCTGAAAAACTTTGCTAGAAAAATTATACAGATCAAATTGTTGGGAGCTCCAACAAATGACAAGCAATTTCTTTGTTATGACAGTTTCAGAACAAAATTTTTTATGCAGTTCCCGTTAAAGGACATTTTATAAGCAACGCATTTCAGAAAATAGAAATGCAATCAACTGGGTGGGCAGATTTACCCAATTGCACAGGTCCTCCATAATCCATATACTGCATAAGTAAGACAAGGATTTGGCTAGATTCAAAAAAATAAGTACACACATAAAAAGGGCAAACCCTAGTGCACAAGGCTCCCCGACTTACAAGGGTAGGGGAAAAGAGTTGATTGTAAGCAGCCTTACCCTTGCATTTTTGTAAAGAGCTGTTTCTCATACTCAAACCCGTGATCTTCCGATCATAAGAAGCAACCTTACGATTGCTTTGAGGCTCGCCCTCAACACACACAACCTTTCTAAATGACATTATTCTAAGGAAATGATTTCTACACTATGCCATATGTATTTCTTGATATTAAACAGTTAGAAGGAACACATACTCTCATTCCAATGGAAGTTGCACCAGGAATAACTTCACTCCCAAAGTCATTTGCACCAGGAAACTTCTCACGGAGCAGATCTAACATCACGTGTTTGCTGACAACATATATACCCATGCTAGCAATATAAGGCATTTCCTTTGCTCTCTCGTCATCAAGACCCAAAATAGTAGTATCAACCTAGTACAGAAAAGTGATAGAGGAACTTTTATATCCAATTACATATTTAAGAAGAAACAACAAAAAAAAGGACATATTATATGAGCTCACCTTCATAGCTTTCAATTGTTCTCCTTTTGGCTTCTCGGCAAATTCAATTATACGTCCCTCGTCATCAATCTTCATTAGACCAAATGCAGTGGCACGCTTTTCATCCATTGGCAATGCAGCAACGGTGATATCAGCATCAGTTTCTCTGTGTGCTTGG